TGGGGGGGGGGGGGGGGCGGCAGAAGCCAAGTCTGGCTAGAGATCTGCCTGGGCTCGTTTGGAGACTGCACCCCGACCGGACCGCATGGCTGGCCACGCCCTTACCTTCCCACCTCCTGGCTGGTGTTTCAGATTCTCGGTGGAGCCAATCTTGGACCTGACATTCTTCAGGTCTGGCATGGGCACAGGGGCAGTCTGCAGGCGGCTCTTACTGGCCGATGGCGACTTGGGGGGAGTGCGGACCACCGCCACCTTCTTGGGCTCCCGGGTGGGCGGCGTTGGTAGGGATGGGGTGCGGGAGCGACTGCCAGGGGTCCCAGGGGAGCCGGGGCTGCTGTAGCCGCTGCGTTCTCCGGATTTTGGTGTTTCGCCTGGAGGGTGGGGAGAGAGGAAGGGACTGAGGCCAGGTGGATGGGAGTTTGCAAAATCCCTGAGGCCACTGGACTGGGGGCCCACTGCGAGGATCCAGAGGGAGATCTGAGAGAGGACCATCTGTGGAGAAGCATCTGCTCATCTGTGCTCCAACACATGGTACCTCTTCCCAGGGATGGCCTAACTATCCCCAAGCTGCCAAGTGTCCTGAAGTCAGGAGATGGGTTCTAGCTAGCTGTGCGTTTCTCGATTTCACCGAGAGAGATAGTGATTGGGTGCTGCTCCGCAAACCCACTTCTACCTGTCCTTCCTTAACTGAGGTGATGTAACGATTGGGATCCTCCTGACCCTTCCCCCACAGAGTAGATCTGAGGCTGCTGGGCACATCCAGGGCTCCTCTAACTGTAGGGCTTCAGAACAATGTATGATCCACCTGCCCAGAGTTTTCCATACAAGCCACGCCCCGACACTGCTGAACCCTACCTTGTTGTTCCAGTCCGGGAATGCCCTTCTCCACGCCCCTTTCCCAATCCCATCAGTTGCCAGGAAGGCTGCCTGGACTTCTCAGCAGGATCTGTCCCTCTCCTCCCTGCGTCCTTCGCCCCCCCACACTTCTCTCATAGTAGTTGGCATGCCTCAGACACACCTAGGGTTCACTGAGCCACCACACCCCTGGGGTTTTCATTTTGTGTTTGAAAACCTCTCAGGTTCTTAGCGGGAGGTGGGACTTGTGATACGCAAATTTTTGGGCTCCCATCCAGCGCTGATAGAGGCCTGCAAAACTGGCCTTTCCCAACCTACAGCCAGGAAGAAGCATCTTATCAAATGCACGTACTGCAGCCAATCTCCACCTAAACATCAATGTTCAGTCTCCAGTTCCAAGTCATAGGAACCCCTAAAGCCATCAAGTTCTGTGATATCTAGAGCCACCGATTCTATGGGCTTAGCTCTGTCTCCATGTCTCCAGGGGCACAGGATGGTGGTAGCGTATGTTCTTTTCCTGACACTTGCAAAGAAACCATGGGTGAGCCAGTGACCCCATTATGCCCGTGTCCTCATCTGAAAGATGCAGGAGATCAGAGTCCTCAAGACCTTATTTTTGAAAAGGGTATATGGGGGTGGAGATAGGGTGGAGAGGTGGCTCAGCAGTTAAGAGCACTGGCTCTTCTTCCAGAGGACTCAAGTTCTATTCCTGGGACCCACATGGTGGCTCACATCTGTCTGTAACATCTCCGAGTGAAATGCCATTTCTTTTCTTTAGATGATTTATTTCATGTACTTTGGTTTGCCTGTTACAGGCAGTTATAAGCTTCCATGTGGGTGCTGGGAATAGAACTGGGGTCCTCTGGAAGAGCAGCCGGTGCTCTTAACCAATGAGCCATCTCCCAGCCCTGAAATGCCATTTTGTAACAAAAAACTCAGCCCATGTCTCCAGGAACATGTTCCCCATCCCACAAATGGCCCTAGTTCCTGAAGTAAACGCAAACACGGAATGTGAGTCCACAGATGCCTCCAGTACAAACCACACTTGAGAAGAAAAGTATACATGATCTTTCCAGTCTCGGCCTCTCTGGGGTAGCCTGGGCTGGAAGCAGAGACCCTCCCAGCCTTGCAGACAAGCACAGGGGCAGAACACACACTAAGAGGGTCTGCCCACCCAGGGTCCGCTACCCAGAATTACCTCTCTCAGATTTTGCCCCTGCAGGGGGTAGTTTTCTCTGCACTTGCTTGGGAGCTTAAAAAGAAAAATCCACAGACAGCCTCATTATAATCAGGCTTACAGGTGTCTCTCTGAGTACTTCAGGTGGCAGCATCTGGCTGGTCCACCTAGCATAAGAGACAGAAGCAGGAACAGGTGCAGGGACCAGTGAGGAAGACATAGCCATCAACATGGAGCCACCTAGGGGCAGGTGAGATGGGAGGAGCAAGGGGAGCACTTGCTTCAAGCTACTGTGTGAGCCGGGCCAGCACAGTATTGAAGGAGACGTGCCAGACACGCCACGAATGCTACTAGATCATCAGTGCACAAGAGACACACCAGACACACAGTTAATTAGTGAAAACACAGCCCAGCAGGCAGGCAGCACCCTTTACAATGCCAGGCAGAAACATGCAGCGGGCAATAGGTGCTGCCTCTGGCCAGGAGAGCAAGGGCACCAAGAACCAGGCCAGACACCATAGCTCTCCTGGGCACCACTAGGGAGCAAAGGCCAGACAACAGAGTCACATGACATCTAAGTTCCTTCTAGATCAAGGTCCTCAGGGTTTCTGCTGCTGGTGTCTCTACTGGACGTGAAACATCCCACTGTGGCCTGGCCAGGTTCTCAATGCCAACTGGATTTTATTTACAGAAGGCTGGAGTAATGACCACAGCACACCACTGCTCAGCTAAAACCCTTGAGTTTTGCTAGAAGATTCCTAACATCACAGCTGCATGAGGTTGATTTGCCGGAGATCCCCGATGATGTCCTGCCCAGGCTACCACTCCTCCAAAGAGACAGGGGACCTGAAAACACCTCACGCTGGGCTGCCTCCCCAGAGCCGTGGATTAGGGTGCATGCGCCTTCCTTACCACTCATGAGCCATGTGATTTCATTTTCCTCATGCTTTCAAAATGAGCCAGATTTCTTCATCGATTAAAGGGCAAGGGTTTATTATCTACCTCAGACAGTTGTCAAAGGTCTAAAAAGAAGACAAATGCTCCAGTGCTCAGCAAACTGCAAGGTGTTAGTTGGTGCCAGGCGTTACTAACTGACCGTGGTCGCCTGAGGCAGGCGTCACACCTTCTGGAAGCTTCTGAGAGAGCATTCTCACCTGAGCCAGGAGGGGTCTTTGGGCTGGGTGTGGTCTTCGCTGGGATCCTGGTGGCGTTGGATGTGCCTTTCTGGCCTGGGGGAGCTGCTCCCCGAGGTGTAGCAATCTTCGTTCCAGTTTTACCATCGGCCCCCTGTAAACCGAATCGGGGTAAGAGTTTTTCACTGGGAAAGGTGACTATCACCACGGAAAGGTCAACCCCACCCTCCCACCTTGTTGGAAGACGGTGAAGGTAGAGATGGATGCTAGAACAGTCTGCTTGTACAGTCTTGAGGGTCTGTGGGGCACACAGCCCCCCAGTTCACCTGCACATCAAGTATCAGGTTCTTATTTCCTCTTAGATGAATTGCGAGCTAGTCTATGTCATCAAATGACAGTAGTGCTTGGAGCAAAATCAGGGTCAGAGTAGATGAATAGGCTGGCCCAGAAAGACCACGCCTTGGGGACACCCCTTTCCTGACTCTTCACTCTTGATGCAGCTGATGGAGGGTGGGTTCACCAGAGACCCTCAAAGACACTTGCACTCAACAGCCGAGTCATGTCTTCTTCTTTCTCCATGGCCCTGGGAGCTCCATGACACCTTAGATGTGTGCTAAGAGCCCTTGGCCATGAACACTGGCTGAAAGCTGGGAGCCAGAGGTGGAGCAGACACAATCAGCTGATTGTGAGTGGCTACAGG